GACCAATCACGCGAACCCAATACTCCTCTCTCTTTCTATTTGATCCAATCATAGTCGTCAAATCCTGATTTGATGAGCAACAGATAGCCTCCACGTAAAAGGAGCTCGTGTTGCCTGGAGGTAAAATGCGAGCGTACAGATTTTAAGCGGTGCACGAATCCAGACTGGGACTTGCTAAAACATAGGATTATTGTAAATTTAATTTTGGTTTCAGATGAAATATTTGTTTGGTCTGCATTATTCTGCGGTCCTTCGTGGGATACTTTTGAACGCCATTCATTCCATCGGCACGTTAGGCCACAAAAGTCACATTTAATTTGAGCTGATATGCCTTGAAAATAGAAACTGTTACATGCATATAAATGCATCCAGTCACTATTATTTGTTATTATCTTGAATGTACCGTAAAGACTCGAAAGCAATAAAGGTGCCGAAAGCAGAAACATAACAACATTTGCACTAAACCTGTAAGTGATAAACTGTACCAAACAGATAATAATAAACAAACCACAAAAACAAGTCGTGGAACTGCAAAAATGATGAGTGATAGCGTTTTGGACAGGTTCGGGTCGGTAAGGGCAGCCATTAAACTTGGAAAGTGATTCCATTCTTGTACTTTGCGGGGTAACAAAGATGAGTGAAATGTAGTTGTTTATGAGCTTGAGATTCCACCTTTACGCTCATTATCAAAACGAAATGAGATGTAACAGCTGAGAGTAATCATTTGATGAAGCAAGGTGTAATTAGGGAAATAATTTTGTTTGAATAATTATAAACGTTGTTTTTTCACCAGAGAAAGAGAGAAAAGAGAGAGAAATATATAAAAAGAGGGAGAAATAGAGAGAAGGAGAATCATAAGGATAAACAAATTTTCATTGACCTGACACTTGCAGTGCTGGTATAGTCCTACATTAAAGTGGCACTTTGGGCCAGTTGGTTCGTAATTACTTAGGTAATCGCCAAGAAAACACTAAGACAAGAAAGTAGACAAACAAGGACCCAATGGAACTAACTTTACAAAAAATATAATAATCACATATATTGCCGTGGCAGAACGAGCAGTCACGGCTAATTCTGGTGTAACCCCCAAAAGAAAACATAATACTCATTTGCCGATAAATACAGTGACCTATAACTTATTTACGTGTCACTTATAAACTTATTGACCTTTGATTTGATTTCGAAAGCTTCATGCAGCTTTCTAGAAACCTTATCTGGGTACCTAGCCAAATAGAATGAAGCGGGTAACCGCATATAGATGGGGTCTCACCCGGTGACGAGGGTATTAGAAAGTTTTAGGATACGCGGTCCCCAAAGCTTGGGGGACCCAAAGAAAGAGGGGCTCACCCCTTCGCATGCGCCAAACCCAAACTGCGTGTTGTGCTTTGGGTAGGCGCTCGTCCTTAACGCGAAATTGGAGAAATAGCATGGGCCCTCTATCGCCAATATTCTCTTGGTGCCGGGTCGGCCGGGTTGCGTCGGCAAACATGGCGGCGCCCTTTCCGCTCGCTTCGGAGCGAATTCGTCATGGTCACTGTCGTATTAGCCATGTACGCTGCGAGTGAACGGTGCAGCCTGCTTTCGCTTCGCTTTTTCTCAAATCACAAAGGATGAGCGGTGAGCTTGCCCCATCTTAAGGATCGTCTTCTGATTCTGGCCGCCTATAAGCATAGACGCAGCAATCGTTAATATGGCAACCCTTGGCTACTCCGAGACAACTAGTGGATTTCGTTCGTGGGACGTTAGTTGTAGCTTAAAAACAAGCCTTCCAAGGCATCCAAGTCGCTCCAGCTCAAATCTAAATAAGGCAGCTGCTCGCAGAGTGTGCTCGTTCGCGTTCGCCTCAAGTTTTCGGTATACTTGAATGCCTAACTCTTCGGCGACAGACGCTCAACGTGGCTCACGAACGCCAAAATGTATCCGAGAACAAGCGCTCAATTAGAACGCTAAGGATTGGATTGTTTTGACTGAAAACAACTTTCAATAGTTTTGCTGATTTTAGATTGCCTTCTGTTTTATCCGGGTTGATTTGGTTTCACCTAGCTGTATTTATAAACAAAGAAATACTTGCAAAGCGCATGGGTTTTACATTTTTAATATATTTTTATTAATATTACGCTCGTTAGCCGCATCGACACTGCCAGCGGGAAACTCAAGCGCGCCGCGCTGCGCTGCGAAAACCCTACTCTATAAACCGGTGGCAGCAACCTTGTTGCGTTTGGATCCCCCAATTTCTTAGGGGCACCAAAACGTTGGTGCTACCTGTTCTTAAACTCTCTAATGTGACCGGGATTTCAGATAGAAACTGCAGGTTCTATACTTCGTTTCACAATGAGTTCAGACGCAGACGACGGGACCAATCGGGCGGCGCAAAAAGCGCGCCGTCATGATGTTCGTCGTGCTTCTGTACGAGTTGTATGATCGCTCAACCAATTATAAACACAAAAATCCCCATGACTTGCCCGCTTGATGCCGCTTTGTTGTTTCCATTTGCTTGAAACACTTGTTCCAACGCTTTCCCATTCGGATAATAGCACGGACTGTCGTTAAGCCCCCTTGTCACCCTCGTGTGTTTGCATTTATTAGTGTTGAGATTTATTAGCCTCAGCCAGCACTAACAAGACAAAATCGGTATCGAATTGTAGGGGAAACGAGTCATAACCCTGTCAGATTTCACGTTTAATTAGGCAGCCATTGGCAAGAAAATAATAGATAAAATCTATGTGCTGGCAAGTTGTTAATATAAATTAAAGCTGTGAAGGGCCTGAAACTGGGCTCCATCACCAGGATCGACAGACAAAAGTGAAGACAAGCCATAATTGAGTGTCAGAAATTGCGAAGCTTTAGTCATAGGAGATTTGATCAATGCAACAACGGTGTACAAAACAATTAACTGATCTCCATTGCAATTCGTTGTAAAATATGGGTTGCCGTTCAGGCTATCAGTGTTGTGATTGCCGACCTATTGTTCAGTGTACAGAGTTCGGTTCAGTCATTAGAAATAGAATTAATCACGATTCGCTTTGCAGCAGTAACGTTCCTCGAAAATCAACCAACCAATAAAAGAAAGTGTCGGTAAAATCCAAGTATTACCATCTGAGCTGCGGCCGAACTTTCCCGAAGGGAACAAGTTACACATTTATTGATGCACATCGTATAAAATGTGTTCCACGAAAAAAAAAATTAAAACAAAAACAACACTCAGTTGCTGGCTGATGTCAAACGGATGCTTACGTGCTTCGTTTTCCATTTTCTCTGAATCGGGATTTCAATTCAAAATGAGACGCACGATTGCGCCATCACTTCAAACCTCATTACACCTCGAGTCGACGAAAGGAGGTCGGGGAGGCACGTTCATTCCCCGACCTACAACAATGACGTGAATCATTTGGCCTCCGCAAGACGGGCTCAAGACGGGTTGAAATGAAAAGCAGCTCACAGTGTCATCAACAACTTGTAACGGCTTCCGCCTTTTCCAGACTGGGATTTCAATCCCACTAGAAACGCCGCGACCCGTGACTCGGGCGAGTCTTCGACTGAACGGGACGTCATCGAACCGCGATCGGACCACGCCGCCGGAATTCACGCAAGGTCGGCCGCGTCAGACAGCCCCAGCAAAAAACAAAGAATAGCTTCGTCGACTGTTGCGCCTGCGTTGCCTCCTCTCCGACGATTTTGAACTTGGACTAGTTCTCTCCCACCGGCAACCACGTGCGCCGTGATTGGAGAAAGAAGCGAAACAGAGAGGCAAAAAAGATTGCCTTCTCCGGTTTTCTCCCAGATTTTTTGTTTCCCTTGCACCCCTCTCCGGTTTCTTGCCTGTTCGTTGGCGGGGACGTATACATTATTTTTTTGGTTCCGGAGGATGTGTTGTTTGCTCGAGGGCAGGTAGCTGACGGTTAAGCTTCCCCGATATGCGAGGGGAAAAAGAGGGGGGCTTGCCGTTCCTGAAAAAACCCCAGCCAATGGGTCAACGTTTTGGGTGCTATAAAAGTTGCCCCTAAAGCTCTCCAAGACAACATTGCTCGGAAGACTCCTGAAGCTTCTTGCTGTTCAGCCCCGGCGCAAGCGACGTTTCGAAAAAAACACGACATGGCACGCAAACTGGTGAGCTTTACGACCTACGGCGTTCGTTGGCGCCTTTTTGTTTTTCACACAGTTCCCAGCTTATCAAAAGAGAGGAAGAAAAGATTAACGCATATTTAAGCGATAATGAACTATCCAGGCTAAGATACAGAATCTAATTCTAACTAATGTGTGCCGTCCCTTGATACTTAATACAAATCACCAAAAACTAATGTAAACAAAAAACTTATGGTATATCAACCCTAGGAGCAGTTATTCTAAGATCGCGTCTACATCCATTCCTATACATTAAAAAGAATATATTTGTCGCAGATATAGATTTGACTTGCAATATAGGCAATGCAGCTGGATCTACAGCAGCACATCCAGATAGAAGTATACAATTATATACCAAGAGGGGAAATGGGTGTGTGTGTTTGAATCCCGACTCGATCTGATACTGCAGAAACAGCTACTGATAGCTTGACAGGTCACAACTAGCCTCAATCATCCCACCGCCATAGGGTAACAATTATATCGTAGCAGCTCTTAATTATAATGATCAAGAGAACGGGGTGATGCCACGGACTGTGTCATAATTAGACACCCTCTTGGGTTTCTTTGCTGCCATTAACAATGTAGACGTTAGGTAGCCCAATGAAAGTCATATACTAATTTAAACATCTTCGTAACCAGATCAACAACCAATTCCTTTTGAACATTGTGGAACATATGCTTGTCACAGAAGGCTGCGAATCCAGGAACTTGCCTACGTTCGGGCCAATTTTTGCAAGATGGTTTAAGGAAACTAGCTAACTCTATTACATTAAAACCGCCAAGAAGGAAACGTCGTTTCGCAACTAGACGCAAACGGACAAAGCACCGGGCGAAAAGTGGCTCTGAATGACCGCAGTTTATCGTTTCCTCCAGTTCGTCCTGGTCGCCCTGATGGCAGTGGTGGCCCTAGCCTTCGCCGCCGAGGCCGACAAGCCTGCAGAAGAGAAGAAGGAAGGTGACGTGGAGGGACGCATCGGCTTCGGATCCGGCTTCAGGAACGTCCAGGGTGGCAACCAGTACGGCTTCAACCGGGGGGCTTCCGGTTTCAACCAGGGCAGCGGTGGCTTCGACGCGGTCAACCGTTACAACAACGTCCAGGGCTTCAGAAACCGTGACGGCTACCGCACCAACGCCGGTTTCGACCAGAGCGACTTCAACCGCTATGGTTCCGGAGGCGCTGGTTTCTCTGGTGGCTTCAACCGTGGTGCCGGTGGTGCCTACAACCAGCACGGGCAGGCGGGTGGATTCTACGGCTAAGAGCCATCGAGTAAGTGCGTTTTTTATCCTTTTTGTTTAAAGTTTTTTTTTCCTTCTGTTTTGTTTTTAGGGTTTCTTCAGATTGATTAGATATAGAATGTCAAGGTCAATGGCTTCAATATAAAAATATGTCATTGCAACAATTATTAAGTTTCCGTTTCACACTATAAGGTCGATTGGTATAGCACATTGTATTTGGTATACTAACTAATGACCACTTAGTGCTTGTGTGATTACAGCCAACATGTTAGTTCATGTCTGGGCATCAAAGAAACTTATATAATTCGAATGGTAGAATGTTTTTAATAATTGCTGTGTCTTTCAGTAGCAATCGTAGAAAAAGCACACTCTTATCAATGCCATGCTATTTTGAAATGCGTGCTTGTTTATCGTTTCCTACTTTTATTTTCAGGTTAAAACACATTTGGAACAAATTCCCGAAGCAACATGACCAAGCTCCAGGAGATCTACTGCAAGCAATGCCATCGTGACGAAGATAAATTTGGGAGATCAGTCTAAAACAAACCACCGAAGAGGATGTTTTGTAGCGCTGTAAATACGGTAGAGATCCAAAAATAAAGAAAAATAATTTATTGATCAAGGTTTGTTGATTTTGTTGATCCGATTTAAAATTTGAAATATTACAGCTTGCATCACTATTTATGTATATGTTAAATTATCTTATTCCCTTTTTATTCCCTTTTGTAGACAATGAAATTGATTTTTACTAAAGTGAATTGTCAAGGTTTCTGCCGCCCTAAAGAAATAGAATCGAGGTGCAGTAGACATATGCAACGATTCTACGTGAGTATTATCACAATTTCAAGGCCCCTTTTTTAATTTCTGCTCAAGGAGTGCAACGTTTTGAGTGTTATAATGATAAGAGTTTAGTGGCTTAAAATCAGCTAAAGATTATGATGTGCTAAATGCTTAAAGTAAAGCGTTAAAATAAATTAATATTGTCATAAAATGCATGACAGTAATACAAAAAAGGATGTAATGAGCTTCGCTATTTACATAACAGAAAATACGTGCTTGCCTGTTTTGATTTTAAATTACAAAAATATTTTACAGTATTTTATTTCGAAAGTACCATTTATACGTATACATACATCAGTTAGCGTAATCAACAGGCACATTGACGGTTAAAATATGGGTAAGACAACTAAATTAATGTAAAACAATTGATGGCTCAGTGCTTTATGTTCCTTACTTTCCCAAACAGATACATTTTTATGGCTGAGGTGTTAAACAAAAGCTCAGCCAACTCCAAAGAAAACTACTATTTGTTTATGTCTGACAGTCATGGAAGTAGGTTGAGTGATAGAGTGCGTAAAAGTTTGTTGCCATAAAATATATAAATAAATAAATAAGTAAGGGACGAGACATTGTCACTTTGGCCATGTTTGTGTTCAAGCAGAAAGGACAAGCACAATAACTTTCTCCTATACATGTTTAATTAAAATTGTAAAATTAAAACTAAATCTAACACTAAATTAAAAAAAATATAACTTCTGCATTTTTTTATCCCAAACAATTATGATATTTTTTTAAATAAGAACGAAGTACAAATATTTGCAGAACTAAGTGTATAATCATCCAGAGCGATGGGGCGGGGTTGGCCCCAAATCACCATGTCAATATTCCTGATCCTATTAAGTCCCTTTTTTTTTAATATGATCAACCTGAACCTCATCGCAAAGGCACGATCGTTTTTTTAGGGTAGGTTAGCCATGGCATGATTATTATTAATATGTAAAACACTATAATTAAAATGTGAACTTCTTATGCTTTCACTAAAATATTTCAAAGTCTGTGATTTTTTTGAGTAGAAAAAAAGTAATCAAATTTAAATATTCCAGTTTCTTTGCTCAGACTCTAAGGTAAATGTGACCAAGGCCGGGAGACTCAAGGTTGCCAATACGATAACGTGGGGTCGGGGCATTTTTAAAGTGCTGAAGTTGGAGCTTCTTTGGCTGCCCCACGCGGAGAGTATACGCTTAGAACTCAACGTTTTTCGTGTGATCATGCTTTCCGTTAATCGCAAGTAAGAATGTTTAACATAAATTTTCCCCTGTATGCAAGTCGCCGGTTTTAAAAACCTGTCATCTGAAATGATTTCGCATTTAAATATCAAAGGAAAAGCGAATTGTCCTCAAGCTGCGTGATCGTGACGAGCTTCATCTCACAACAGTGTTCGCTTGTAATTCAGGAGTTTCGTGTGCACAGTGGCATTCAAATTTTCGTTCTTTCCTAGGTCAATAACCGCAAGGAAGTAGCTACCAAAAACATAGTACGAAGTGTCAGTGTCAAAGAATATATTTAAAATTTGAAAATTTGGCTCATGTGATTGTTTTGTGAAGTTTTTGTTGTTTATGCTTTGCTTCGAGATTACTTTGTTGCTACGACTTGCAGCTGGGACTGGTGTCATTTCGGTGCTATATATTACGAGGGAGAGTCGAAAAAGTGTTCGCAACTTATTTTTTATTTGCGTGGTAGTATATATTATTAAAATACCTTTATTACTTTTCAACATAATCATCTCTTTGCTCGAGACATGTGCGCCAACGCTTCACCAATGCATAGATGCCGCCTGAATAAAAATAATATTGTGGCTGACTCCGGAGCCAGGAATGCACCGCCACTTTCAGGTCATCATCTGTTTCAAACTTGTTTACTCTGAGAGCCCCTTTGAGGGTTTCGAATAGGTAAAATCACTCGATGCGAGGTCTGGTGAGTATGATGGGTGCGGAATACACTTGAACCGCAATCCTTTGATTTTTTCCGGTGTAGTACGTGCCGTGTGAGGGCGCGTATTGTCGTGCTGCTGGAATACCCCTAAAGTGAGCAATCCGCAACGCTTTCGCCTGATTGCAGTCTTCAAGTGGTTCTCAACAAGGTTGCCGTACGATGCACCGTTCACAGTGAGTCAATTGGGCGTGTTATGTTTAACTATCGGGCCTTTATGATTTTAAAACACCGTGAGCATTAGCTTGCCCACCGGTGGCGCTCTCTTGAACTTCTCCGGCTTTGGTGGCGTTGAGTGTCGCTACTCACTGATTGCTCACTTCGTCTCTGGCTGGGCGTAGTATACTCAGCATTGATCACCGGTGACAATGCGTTGAAAAAAATCTTCTCCCTCGGCTTCGTAGCGCCGCAGTAGCGTCCCACAAGCATCCACACGCTGCTCCTTAAGGTCCTGCGTATGTTGTTTTGGTACCCACCTGGCGGGCTACTTTGTGGTACTGCAGAATATTATGAATGATATGGTGCGTCTAGCCGTGACTAATATTCAATTCTACAGCCACTTCATCGGTGGTGACACGCCTGTTCGCGTGTATGAGCCGTTCCACGACAGAGATTGCGTCCAGCGTCGTTGACGTGTGAGCTCGGCCGGAACGAGGTCCGTCCGTCAAACTGGACGCTCACTTTGAATCATTTTGTGCCAGGCGTACATCTGCCGAAGCGATACACAAGAGTCTCCGTACTACCTCAGCATCCTGCGATGAATATCCGCAGGTGTTTCGCCCTCTGCGCCCAAAAATCGGATAACCGAACGCTGCTCCTCCCTGGTGCATGCTAACAAGGGGCGGACATTTTGAAAGTGCTGTTACCACGTGACATTTCCTATCAAGTCGCCAGGCCGGCGTGCACTGCTCTCTCTTACGGTACGTCAAAACATATTTGCAGCGCGGAAGTCTATCACTAGATTTGATTTTATCACGGCTAAATTGCGGTTTCCTTTTTACTCGTGCTTGTATTTTTATCTTTATGATGCACACTCCTGCTTAGACTCTAACATGAGTCTACAGTGTTCATGAATAAATAAATAAATGTAAATAAAAAAAAATAATACGGGGGTAACAAAAACAAGGTCATTTGTGAGGCTGCTGAACGTGTACTATGGCAACGATATGGAAAATAGAATATTACCTCGCTTTGTTTTCTGACGTTCCTAAAAATTTTGGAACACGACATGGTCTCGACGAGGGTTAAAACAAAAAGTTTGGATCTCAAATTACATACTCTTTGACAGGTTGAGGTTTAACGAAGGTTGTGAGAGCTACGAAACTGGAAGGAGGAACAACTGACTGTTCTCTTTCGTGTTGTTGCCGATAATATCTATAAATATTTATTTCGTTTGTACCAACAATGCTATTTGGGTTGTTTACAGTAATAGGTGGGATAACATTTTAAAACGTTTCAATATGATATACCTGCAAATGCGAAATATTGCTTTACTAAAAATACTAGACAAATGTGTCTGAAAAAAAAAGAAAATAATGAATATAAAGTGAAAGATGGGGGGAATCTTGGGTTATGGGATAGCAGGTTAAAGTTTATTGTTTAAGAAGACACTAGGTGCAATTACCTGACCACGTCTAACCTAAGCGGCACGGACGGCGTGATGCCGCTTTTCCTCTTTACCGCCGCTTTTTACGACGAGTTTAGAAAGCACTTTCCATACGACATGGGTTGCTTAATGAAGGCGTTTTTCACAATACAGCAGGAAAGCAAAAATAGAAGACACGTGCCGTTTTTTTGTCTGTTGGAAAAGGCTACGTCATGAAACCTTATGCAGCCCATTTTTTTTTTGTTGTTTTATTTTGTTGCGGCTGTTCGTTCCTTATTTCTGAAAGGTGTAAAAGGCCGGGTGCTACAAATGTCAGAAATCGATATTCATTTCCTTATTTAATGACCATTTTGTATAGCAGGGTACAAATTATTTGCGAGGCCACTTAACAAAGACCGAATTCTAAATATTAGGTTTATTACATCTTAAGCTTTTCTAATTATATATTTTCAACAAAAATAGGGCTTTTCTCGTGAATGAAGTGACCGCCATGCGAGTTGTAATAATGGTCTGAAAACCAGCAGTGCTGTGAGCAGTTGGCTTGAAATGCTGAAAGGAATTCGTGTTGGATACATTAATGCTAATACCATTTGCTTAAACTAAATAATATTAATTAGCAGGCACACATTTCTGAAAGTGTTCATCAGATAAACCGATA